GTTATCTTGCTCAGGCACTAGTACAAATACATCAACTGTCACCCTTCTATTATAGTTGAAAAGGAGACAGAGTTGAGTTGAGAGTTGAGTGTATATTGATATCACTCCAGACCACGCTCCCAGGTAATCTTTCAGTGTTTTTATGTAGATGTTAAAAATATAGGAGATAAAACAGCACTGAGGCACCCATTAATGGGCACAGATCAAGGCAAACATACTGGTTCTAGGTACTCCATCTGCTTAATTAAGTTCTGGAGGGGGCTGCATCTCTCTCAAAGGTCTAGTTACATATCTGAGATATTCATGGGCTCATCATAATCACTGGAGCCTCATGGCAACAGTGTCCAGGCTGCTCTTTATCAGCTCATTTTGATCTACCTGATACAATCTTGCCTGGACAGACACAGCCTTGCAGTGGTTATTCATGCTCTGGTAACTTCCAGGTTGGATTCTTGCAAAGCACTATATATGAAGCTGCTTTGGAAAACTGGAAGCTTCATTTAATTTAAAACAGAGTAGCTAATATTGTTGACTGGATCTGGCTGAAGGGAGCATATTATAACAAGATGGCCTGCCACTCCCTTTGCAGGCCCACTTCCAAGGGCTGCTATGAAGCCATCAGGCCCAAAACATCTTGGAGGCAAGTTAGCTGGAGGGTTGTCTCCTCCCATAATATCTTACCCAGACATGAAAATCTTCATCAGGTTATCCCACACAGTAACATAAGGGGTGCAGACAAGAGGAAGTGCCTTTTCAACACAACTGTTCTTTCTGTAGCTTTGGTTTTGTGTAATGTTGTTGCTTTATTGCATGCACTATTTCATTATATTTGGAATTTTTATTTCATATTATAAAATATGTTTATTCTTTATTGTATTTGTACTGTGTTTAAAGGCTTTTCAGCTTTTTGGCTAAGTTCAGGCATAATATTTGATTACAGTGGTTTTTGCTGAAGGAGATTTAACAATGCAATAAATAATATGAGGAAACTAAAGTGTGCTAATTGTTCTTAAAAAAAGCTTTTCACCGTATGGGTATACACATGGGCATTCTTCATAGGCCCAAACTCAGTGGCCTCACGCTCCAGTATTTGCATAAATTGGAATTTATAGCAAACGTATAATGTTGCCCTAAAATCAACATCACAAAAAATGCCATTTTCTGCACAGAAATGCCTTTAAAGTGAATAATCCTGCCCCAAACTATGTCCTTTACCTCACATTGGCTCTCCCTATGGATTTCAGAATAGAGGGAATTTGAATATATGGCTCAATAGCTATATTGTGAAAAGTACTGTGAAAAAGAAATGCCACAAAATTGCTATGCATCTACTTGTGGGCAGAAATTTCCTATTTTCAATTATCCTCTCTAATAAATAGAAATAAAAATTGTTTTGAATTATGATCCATCTTTTGGGGGGGAATAAAGGGAAATTCACAATCAAGCAGTTTTGAGTTTTTGGAGGAAGAGGAGGATAGAAATCTAACAAAGAAAGTCACCTGAGAAACAAACATGATTCATCCCATCCAGAAAGGTCTCTGCTGCTAAGAACGTGTAAGAGATTCAAATATAGGGCTGTCACATCAATCCAAATAAAGCATAAACAAACCAAAGTGCCTCAGTGTCTTAAAAACCTGCTGGGAGTCGGGTGGCATATAAATTTAAGAAGTTATTACTACATTATTAAAAGATGGAATGAATGAATGAATGAATGAATGAATGAATGAATGAATGAATGAATGAATGAAT